ATTTCAAATTATAAAATATATATATATATATATATATAAAGATAATTTTTTTAGAGAAAAAGCGCAAATAACTAGACAATAACATTAAATTTGTAATTGAAAGTATAAATAAACAAAAATGTTAGAATTTAGAAATATAGATGAGTTAAGTTGGATATTTTTAGTGAGAAGTGGGCAAAATTAAAAATTAAAGATGAGTATTTTTCAATAATTAATATTACATTAATTGAATAAAAAATAATTGTCCATGCTGACATTAAGATGGTTCTGCCTCTAGCGGTTAAGCCCAATTTGGGCTAAGTTTTCAATTAGCCCAAATTTGAATTAATTTTTAAATGGAGTGATAGAATTACATTAGCCACGATTATTCACCCAACTCAGAGGCATTCACCTAAGATCATATGGCAACCTTGCAACTCAAACAACACTCGTTGGAGGCAAAAAAAAGAAGCCCATCTATTCAAGAGATGCAACATCATCTATTTAGTCAAGAAAACCTTTGGAATAATTACAAAGGCAATGGCCACGTGTATTTAATGATATTTTAATTACTTTTTTCATTTATCTATAATATCCAAATCATATATTTATCTATATATTTCCATTCGATTAAAATGTACATATTATCTCTTATAGCGCCACAATAAACCCAGTAAATGCAGGCCTAAAGAGCCATTTTGGAGGAAACCATAAAGCCTAAGCTCTCATCATGAAGAAAAAAATTTCATCAAATTTACCTTCATCACTCTCCTTCTTTTCTCCCTCTTCTTCCTCTTCACCTAGACTCCTACATCTCTGATAACTATAATTAAGTCCAGGCATCATCACAGACAAAACTTAAATCCCACAATAAAATTAATCAATTAAGCCTCCAATCACCAACCACAATAAAAAATATTCTAAATCCCAGATGGAGCTGGCAGCAACAGGACATGCAGTGATCCATATATATCCATACATTCACGATCTCCATTAAATTCAACTGGCCAAATTGCCGGGCTACCTAAATAGACCCATATTCGCTCAAATTTGGAACTTTGTGCCTTCCATTTAATGCCTCGAATCTTGCCAATGACTGCGACGTCAGAGCAATAACCTTCTCTCTACCTGTCTGAAGGAAGATTGCGATGGCCTACCTCCCTCCCCAAACTCCTTTTCTTTTATCTTTAATTGCTTCTGAGCTGTGCTACGAGCCACTTTTGAGTGATTGTTTTTTTCTGCAAGTTTCAATTGATTTCTATTACGAGAAGAACAAATTAATATACATATATATAAGGTGATTGAGTATGGACATGAATGATTAACGTGGTGTCGACTTTTTTGACTTGTATACTTGTGCTTTTATGGGCGCTACACGTGAGCGGACACATACGTTCAAGCAAGCGTGGGCTGAGCTTTCTGAAAAGGAGCTCACAATGTTGAGATTTATTGCAGTCACCATCCCATCATTAAATGGGAATTATTTTGCTTTCTATGGTTCTTATTTTATTTGCATGTGTACATAACACTCAAATATTTAATATTACATAAGGAATATCACTGGTATTGATTTTTTAATGGTAAAATACACCAAACTTAAAGATCAATGGTTCGTTTGGGGTGGCGTTTTGAAAACGCACATGTCATGTTTGGGTAAACTGTGTTTTGACAGCTTATGCATTTTCAAAATGCTGAAAACAGTGTTTTCACATCACATCTATCTAGGCGCGGTGGCAGATTTCTAGCTATGGTTTGGTTTTTTCAAAAAAATAAAAATTTGTAATAGCTACTGCACTTAACTTAGCAGATTATTTTTAATAAGCTTATTAACAGATTGTTCAATAAGTTGCAGCTGCCCCAAACAGACACCAAGTCTCTGGTGAAAATGCTTATATGATGTACACTTACAATGGCAATGCATTAGAAAGCCCTTTGGCAACTACTTGGGTAAGATTTTTGCCACATTAGTTGTAGCGGTTAAAATTGTTATTAGGGTTTAAAGGGTGAGAAAATTTTAGAAGTGGACAACATACAACAACGATATAGCGAGTGGAATCTATGTTGTTATCCGCCAATGCAGACAATGTGCCTAATAGTTTATGATAATGTTGGAGTGATATTCTTAACACCCACGTGTCATCTCTAGAATGTTGTCTAGCAATGAATGGTTATGGGATATGTATAAGATTATTCATAATAATATTAACTAGTTCCTTAGGTAGGAAAATTTGAAAATATTTTAGCTACTATGATAAAATATTACTTTCAAAATTATGTAGAAAGTTATAATCATTTTATTCCATACAAATCTCAAATGATAACATGGCAGATAAAAGTTATTTTAAAAAAACAGAATTTTTAAAAATTAATATGAATAGTAAATACCCATTTTCATTGTAATTAAAGTTATCCTATAGCTTTCTCCCAAATATTATATTCTAATAAACTTTATTAGGAAAATTTTTTTCTCATCAGAAACATTTAAAAATAAATAAATAAATAATAGCCAAATAAGATCATGACAAGATTTATGACAACAAGAAAAAAAAAGTGTCAAATGCAATTTAAATAATAGCCGAATTTTGTTGTCTCAAGTGAGCGTGAGCTAAAAAAACAAGAATTTTGAATATATGCTTCAAATTTTGATCATAACAATTCTCGGAATTATTAAATTCATTTAAAAACATGCATAACATAAATTTAAATTAATAATTTATATATTATATTTATCTTAAATGAAATTTAATAATTTTAATGTTTATCCAAATCAAATTGCATTTAGATGTATTCAATTTTTTTCCCTGACCTTTATAACTCGCTACTAAAGTTTATACATCATTTGCTTGGAGAAAATATTAGGTGCGTTGTACACACTTGTGGCTAGCCAATAAGAGGAGAGAAAGGAGGAAGAGAGAGTGTGTGTTTCTCTCCTCCCTTTCTTACTATTGTTTGGCAACCTAATATCTTATCTATGTACATGGCTTATATTCCATGTAGGGATCTGAATATCAAACGCCAATACAAAAAGACATATAATATTTTTATAGTGACTTGAGGTATCATGGTTCTCAAAATATATTATTAAGATGGGCTCCGCTTTGGCTCTATGCCACTTGGCATCGCGCTTGATTTAGAGAAACTAAAAAGGCGTTATATGTACTAATCAATGTTGTCAACCATGAAAAGAATTTATTCGGGTTGGGTGAGTGGTGGAATCTCGCACTTAATAATTTTCCAACTTCTTTTCAATTAATGTGCTATGCATTTGATAAGTAATCCATAAAATAATTGATAAATAATATTTCATGTAATTAGGATACTCGTATTTAAAGTATATTTTAACCACTAATTTCTAACATAATTATCACTAAAGCTTAACTAGTCAACAAATTGCTTCCCACCACATTTCATTATTTTTATTATGAATGATGAAAATGGTTACCACAATATATCTTAAACTTACAAAAACAAAGAATATGTGAAGATATAGCATATATTGTACTTCTTGAACCAATCAATATCAAAAAATTTTGATGTATGCGGTCCAAATTTTTATATAGGAAATATATCTTAAACTTACGAAAACAAAGAATATGTGAAGATATAGAATATATTGTACTTCTTGAACCAATCAATATGAACAAATTTTGATGTATGCGGTCCAAATTTTTATATAGGCGCAATTTGATTTCGTTCAGTGGTTCTCAATTAAATATAGCATGGTTTAAAAATCAGCAAGCAAGTCATCCTTCCTTTGAAATAGTTGTAGCTTTTGCACACTTATAAGTAAATAGCATGATCATACCACTAATTTTAAAGATGAGTACAAAAAATATAAATATTCTTATAAATTTCATCGATGTTAAGTTGTCTTACCTCGTATTTATATGATTTAACGTAAATTTAGGAAAATACATAATACAAATTTATTAATTTGCCTCACAAAATCAATCTGATAAAAACTGAATTTTCGAGCATTATTCCAAAAAAATTGACAATTGTATTCATAAACATAGAAAAAAATCTTTCAGAAGTCAATGAGACAATAAACTCAATTAATTTTTGATGAAACGAATTTAATCATATCCAAAAGCATTTCTAGTTTAAATAACCTCAAAAGTTAGCTATGAAGTGCTAAGATTTTTCAGTCAATTTTTTTGTGCAACAAGAGTACCTAACTCTTTTCCCTTTTCAAAAAGGGCCTACTTACGAAGTGTTTTTAAATTCAATAATCTCAAAATTCCCATATGGAATTGGAAGACCTCCTTACTACATACACTTATAATCTTGAGGATGATGTGGTTTTCTCCAACGAAGAAATTGATGAAGGGGCTAA